AATTACTACACAACTTTTCAAAACGTTCGTATTGTTATAGATAACTAAATATTTTACTTACAAATTTATATTTGTTTTTTTATAAAAAAAACTACAAATTTATATAAAAATATATATAAATGGAAGAATTAGATATGATTGAGTTTAATCTTATTTATAGAAATATCATAAATGATGATTGTTGTATTAACTATTTATGAGTAAAATTTTATTTTATTTTTTTATTTATTGAAAAAAAAAACAAAAGAAGGTAAAGAAAGGGACAAAAGTAAAAGAAAAGAAATAGCATTGTTTGTTTTTAACCGTTGGCAACGGCAATACAACTTTTTTTTGGTCCTTCTATTACAGGAACTTGATTAAATTAGTCCTTAATAATTTTTTTTGAAGAAATTAGTCCTTAATTGTTAAATGAATCAATTGAGTTTTTCTACCATGGGGATTGGTTTAAATTATTTTCTCTACTATTAAATAAATAAATTCGATCTTTATAGATTTAAAATTTACTATTTACAATATAATTTTGAAATTAAAAAATGTTTTTTCTTAATCAAGTCAATACATATCGAGATGATTTTAATTATGTTATTTTAAGGGTTGGAAAATTTTCCATCCTTGAAAAATGTTTACTTTATTTAAATAACAGTATGAGTTGACTAATGAGTATAGGAATTAAAGTGGAAATATGAGTCATTGAAATTAATTATTTGATGTCATTGATAGTTTTTCGGTTAATTTATGAGAATAATATTTAAAATAATATTTTTATTAAAATGATATTAAAATAATGTTATTTATTAAAAATGATATTTTTCATAAAGATATATTGTATGAAAAACAATTTTTAGAAGGTACATGTCTCTACCGACGTAGCAGATTTATCAAGGCGATTTTCTCATATTAATATCACATATACATATTATAAAATAATCTTTTTTATCTAATATTATTCGTCTATAACATCAAAATTTAAATTTCTAATCGACTTTCAACCTATCAAACAATGAACTTCAATTAACAAAAGAAAAAGGAACATATGGAATAATGAACGTAAAATCATGTAGAACTTGAGTGGAGTGGTGGGGGATTCTGTTGGTGGCTAACCCTGCATATGCTTAATTTTTTTGTTCCATTGTCACCAAAGACTTCATGAAAAACAAAACTATAAATGTGCTTCGATATAATGTGACTAGCCTGTAAATGAACTGAACGTTCAGCGAATCGTTCATGAACCGTGCGGCGGAAAGTTTGTTTATGTGCGTTTATTTATTAAATGAACGAACATGAACAAGATTTTGCTTTCGTTTAATTAAATGAACGAACATGAACAAAGAGCTCGTTCGTTAATTTATATTCGTGAACGTTCGATTATATGTTCGTTTATGTTCGTTCATTTATGTTCGAACAGAGGGCAAGTTGAATATGTTACGAAGATTATTGAAGTTGTTTGGATTTCAAGAAGACTGTTTTGTTGAACAAATTAACTTTAAGACTTTATTATGTTCATATAGCTTATTTATGATTAATGTATGTTTTTGTCGTATTCGAACAAATTAATGAATTTTAAGTTGTTATTCTTGTTGTTTACTTTTTTTACATTCGTTTGTTGTGTTCGAATAAGTTTTTTTTTGAGTTTGTGTTGTTCGTTTATTGTGTTCGCTTACGTTCGTTCGTTCGTGTTCGTTTATGTTCGTTCGCTCGTGTTCGTTTATTTATTAAATGAACGAACATGAACAAGCTATATTCCTTAATGAACGAACATGAACAAACTATATTCCTTAATGAACGAACATGAACAAGCTATATTCCTTAATGAACGAACATGAACAAAAAAAAATTTGTTCGTTTATGTTCGTGTTCGTTTATGTTCGTTTATTTATTAAATGAACAAACATGAACATACCTCCGTTCATGTGTTCGGTTCGTTTACAAGCCTAAATGTGACACATATTTATAATTAATTAATTTTTTAATAATTGCATTTCAAATTTAGATAATCTACAATAAATAATTCTAAATAGCATTTGAAGGTAGCTATTAATATTTATAGTTTTTACTAATTTAGTTTTTATTATTTTTAGTTACATTTAATCCTTAATTTATATAAAAAAAAGTTAATACATTTTATAAATAATAATACTGATTAAAATATTATTTTTTTAAACAATGTTAACATGGTAGCGTTGTAACACCCCCAACTCGTATCCGACCCGGATACGAGTCCGAAGTGTCACATTGACTTTTTAAACATGTATTCGTATAAAATAGTGGGTAATTTAAAAACTTTGATAACATTTAATTTATTTCAAAGCGTTTACAACAGATATCAGAGTTCATACCATTTATATCTTTAGACTACATGCCAACTACACTCTGTAAACAGTACATACATTTTCTGATCTGACATTTGGTAAGGAAAACTGACCTGTCTTGCTCCGCATTACTCTTTACTCTTCTCGAAACCTACGCGTGAAACAATCACACGCTAAGTCGAAGACTTAGTGAGGCATAACAACTTACAATGCACTTCATAACATATATCAATACATGCATGTTCTGTTCTATCATGTTATACCAATTCCATGCATTCTTCGTATCATATAAAATCATATCAGATTAATTACAGTAAATACATACAGACACATAATTCATCATTAACAGTTTATCATGTAATCACATACTTTTATTGTTAACCTTTTCAATCAAACACTATACACACACAACATCATATGGTTCACGTAACACATTTCAAACCACTTATAACCCCATCGTATACATATCACATTCAGTATGCTTGTTTAATCACTTTATTAGCCCATGTACACTAGTGAGAACTTAAGGTATGTGAGTACATTGAGGTTGTGCACACATATGCTGTCACCACAGCTCGATCAATGTCCCGAATGACCAGTCCATAGATTCCGAAGAACCTAGGTAATCAGTCCATATGTCCCGAAGGACATAGGTAAACAGTCCGTATGTTCCGAAGAACATAGGTAATCAGTCCATATGTCCCGAAGAACATAGGTAAACAGTCCATATGTCCAGAAGAACATAGGTAAACCCTCGACCCTTGGCATGCCAACTATACCCCTAGCTCTCATATCACATAACATGGGCATTATCATTTATAACAGTTCACATTAATTATTCATATTCTTTCTCTTATAACCACTTATCCTTTCTTTTCAGTCACGTATCACATGTACGTGTAATCATTGATCTCATAACATATACTTGTTTTCACATATATATTTCATATCATTTCACATATACACTTTCATATCACATGCCATATAAGCTCATAGCTTCTTTCACATTCTCATAGGATCACATAGTTCATATCTTATACTTTGTTTTCTCATGTTCACATATATCATGTCATATGGCTCATATCTTTCTCATGCAGTCACATAGTTCAGTTTCACATATGTTCATATATATACATTACATAGCACATACTTCTCATAACATTACATTCAAAGCATGTTAACACATATAATCATGCATACATACAATTCATGTCATTCATATACGTATAATCATATATTCATGCATTCTAACAGAGGAAATAGACTTGTCGCAAGTCTTGTTTCCATTTAGCACCATAAACTAATTAATATGCACTCACCTGGCCTCACTAGTCAATTCAAATCTCTTATCTTTCCCCTTGATCAATCTTACTTGCCAAACGTTCCGGAATTCTTTATGCGTAGAATCTACATAAATGTACATTTCGAGGTAATCATTAGATACCTACACCTTGTAATTGGATACTAGCAACTTAAACGAACTTATTAAACCAATATTCGCATTTTCCTTTAGGGGGAATCGGTTCCCTACCATGGGGGTATCGATTCCCTCAAGACATTCTGGAATTCTGTCGTTTGAAGGGGTATCGGTTCCCCTTGAATGGGTACCGATTCCCCTTGCCCAGAAATCATATTTTCAACCCGAAAATTACTTCATTTCCACTCAAACCCTTCATATATCATCCCCTTTTCATTCTTAACTCTAGTATACATACTTAAACCAATCTATATTCATTTATTTCATCTTAAACCTCAAAATCCTATCTTCCATATGAGATTCAAAAATCATACCAAATTTTCAATGTGTTCTAATTCCAATTCTAACACTCCAAATCTCTTAATTTAACCATTGACAAGTCAAATTTAACTTCAAATTCTACTTATCAATTCTTTTCCAAAGTTTCATATAAAAACTCCAAATCTTTAATCTCTCTTAACCCCTCCATCCTTTGTTTTTAAGATGATTTAAGCTTTCCTTAAGCTTAGTTATCATCTAATAATCAAAACCCAACCTTAAAATCAACAATTCATTTACAAACAAAGAAACTTACCTTTGGCTTGCTCTCCCACGTATGAAGAAGAAGAAAAGAGAAGAGCACTCTGGAGAGTTCTCTCCCTTTTCACGTGTATATCATTCCTTGAATGATCAAATGACCATTTAACCCTTAATTTCTTTTAATAATTACTAAATAACCTTCAATATATATTCAAATAATCATTGAATTATTTCATTCTTCTACTTTAGTCATCAAATTCTGAAACTTTACAATTTGATCACTAACCCGGTATTGAGGATGTTACAAGCGTGCATAATGGTCGTGTATACTTTATGTCAAGAGTGGTAAAAAAAGTTTATATTCATTTTTAAAGATTTTAAATTCCAACTATTATATTTATAAATTGTATGATCGTTGTCAATAATTTAGAAAGGTTTTGAGCAAACATTTTCATCATTTTTAATTTTCTAATAAATTTATGAAAATCCTCACCCTTTTACATATGTATATAAGGTATTATTCCATTCGTACTCAAACATGTATGTACAAATATGATATTTTATTTATTCTTGAATTTATAAAATAAATTAAAAGGAAATAAATATACATATATTCGACGCTCGTACTCGAATCCAGATAATACATAAATAATGTCTATAGAACACCTCAATGCAGCAAATAAGGCTAGCAGATGGAATAAGTTCAAAAGAACCCATTAACAAGAAGAAGAAGGATAAGGATTGAAAAGGGAAAGAGTAATGTATTTGATGAGGAAACTATCTGCACCTTCCCCTCGGTACCATCATCATCATTGATTGGAGGTGTAAATCCACCTTCTGTTATGTTTGCCCTGCATTTCCATTGTGTTCTTAGCCATTAGGATGCAAGACATACACACATACATGCATGTATACATACATATATAAAGATGACTTAAAACATTGAATTTTTTTCGAGCAAACTAGATCCTTGACAAGTATAGTCAAATTGGACCCAGACTTGATAGGTTGCTGCAATAAGTTTACAGACCAATTTGAACGAGGTTGCCAAGTTTAGGGGACGTTTTGTGTTTCAAACCTAAGAACATACATCGGAAATTGATAATTAGGGGGAGAAATGATGAAACATACATGCATATATATATGCATGCATAAATACATACATACATACATACAAAAAAGATGGTTTAAAACACAAAATGACCCCTAAATTTCATAAACTTGAACAATTTTGTCTCCTAAACTTTTTTCGAACAAACAAGTTCCTTGACAAGTTTAGTGAAATTGACCCTGGATAAGTTGTAAGAAGTTTGGAGGGAAATTTTAACAAACTTGCTTAGGAGACATTTTGTGTTAAGCCTAAGAATATACCTTAGAAATTGAGAATTTTGGGGATAACATGATGAAACACACTTGCATGCATGCTTAGAAACATACATACATAAGAAAAATACCTTTGGGATTGAGAATTGGGGCAGAAAATAATGAGATAATCAAGGGCCTTGCAAGTGAAAGTGCTGGTAGCATCATCATAAGCATAGCTGTAAGCCCTTGGGCAAGCTTTTTTGAAAACTGAAGAATAGAAGGAAGGCCTGCATGTTGTTGGGTTAGCAAACTCCCCACTGCAGCAATATTGATCTTGTCTAAATGCTTCACATGCACTTTTGCACCCCACCACTCTCCCTCCCCCTTCTCCATCTCCTCCCACCACTTGCAATTCTTTAGGACAACCTGTCTTACACACGCATATTAGGGTTTGAATTCCAAAACATACTAGATGTCGGTGAGTGATTGAATAACCCGAGCAACATCTATGATTAGTTAGGGATTTTGACAAAACAGTACGAGAGTTAATGAAAACTTTTAAAAACTTTGATGTTCTAATTTTAATTCAAAGATGATTGAATGAACTCGAACCACACTCATGGTTCAAGTCAAGTTATTTTATATATTATCATACATGCACATATATTAGCTAGGGTGCAAATTCCACATATAGATGTTAGTTTTAAAGGAAATTGAACGAATTTTCTTTGAGTAATATCACACATAACATATATAAATATATATGTCTAAATTTTAACCGAATTACATGTCGTTTTTTAATAATGATTGAATGAACTCGAACAACACCCGAGTAAATATTTTACTCGGCTAACACATATATTATCCTTTTTTAAGATTATGAAAGAGAGTCTTAGTTCTTACCCATATTGAGATCATAAGCACACCCTGTGGCATTACATGCACCATAAACTCCACGAGGAGCAGCAACAACCGGCAAATTATATCCATCGACAATGCTAACATCATAGAAATCTTGTTGATTCCCAACACCAAACGTTATTTCGAACAACGAAGCCGGTGGAGTTGCACCCATGCCATCACATTCAAGCTTCCCCCCGCAATCCCCGGTTTGACAAGACCCGACACCAGAGGCATCAAATGAGCACCCTGTCCGTCCCCAAATCCGACCCGACCACCCCGCAGGAACTGGTATCCTGACACTTTGGCCTGCATCCAACTGGAACCCCGTCGATGCAAGCTGTGGAGTCCCCGAACCGGCCAGCGTTCCAGGCCATATCATGTAAGGGCAATTGTTTGTAACAGTGAAAGTGTAAGCATTTGAGGTATAACAAAATGTTAGGAAAACGAGGAAGATAACAGGAGAAATGGGGCAACAAGTTGACATATTAAGCAATAAACTCTGGGATTTGGGGTTCAAGAGAAATCAAAGCGTTCTTTGATATTCAAATTATGATTATATATATAATATAGGTGTGTTTGTATATATAGGTTTAGAATAGGGGAATATACAAGGAAGACTGAAGTCTAAAGGGATACGACTACGTTGCTTTTGTAGGGTTGTAATGAGCCGCAAGATTGCCTTTAGGGGTTTAGGATTTCCTTTTTGTGTAAAGGGTTTGGCAATGCATGGCCTCTTCAAGAAGCAATACTTTGCTTTGGGATTTGTGCAGGTAATACCATAACACTAAATTAATGTATAAACTAGTATTTAATATTCATATATCCTTCTCAACATGAATGCCCATGACCATTATAGATATTTGTTCGATCGAGTGATTAGAAATTTGATGTCGTATAATAAAACAACGCTAGAAGAGCTTGACATCTTACTTAGAGATTTAACTTATTCAATCCATTATTAGTAACTGCTAGACCGAACAATCAATTGGTTCCGATTCAACTAGTCGGACCGGCCAATTCGGTTCAACTTGTTATTCCATCCGTAGGAGATTGGCTAAGGCACATGCCTTGATGCAAGAATCTCGTAAGTGCTAATCAACTTTCAAATTCCAACATAATGAAATGTGGTCCAAAGTTCAATTTTTAACAATTATTGGAAATGGTGTAAAGGTTCAAACGCTAATCTCAAATTAAACTTCAAAATTAGCATGAAGTGCTAATGGTCCCTGTATATGTTTGTTCCTAGAAGATGTTCACCTTTCGGATATAAAAATGACACCAGCTCGGACTCTAAATCATACACGCAGAACATGTCGAGGACAACCACGATCTGGAGATGATGGAAAAACAATCATCATGGGAGAATTCTGCGTCTTCGATGTGGTGTCTCTCGTCTTACGTACATTTTCTCCATCTCATTGAGTGGTCGACTTGACCCATCCGGTAAACTTACAAACTTCCACCCTCCGCCACCTCCACGCTTTCCTTTTGCACCCATTTTCTCCACTGTGAAGTTCCAACCTTCAGTGGGGCGCCTCCGACTATACCTGTGTCGCTTTACTTGACCAGCAATCTATACAAAAGCAAGGCCAGATTGGCATTAATGAAGAATATGAAATAGAATTAACAGAAAGCTAGACAGTCTAATTCCGTATGTCAAGTGAAATAAACATAGATAGAGAAATGCGGACATCATTCTTTGCCCTACCGGCCTGTGTAATATGTATATCCCTATAAGTTCCTGAAAGCACGATTCTCCGGGTGGATCCATATAGCACCTCTGACCGAGGGAAGGAAAAAGGTTAACCTAGCCGTTGAAAAAACAGCTCTTGGTCTTGGGAATATAATAGGAAGACAATCTCTCAGGCGAAGATGTATGGGCTTAATCCGAAAGCCAAAATAGTTCAGATGGCATCATTTGAATGAAAGTAGGGAGGGTGGTGAACATTTGTTCCATTGTTAGTTAAGATAGCTACTCGAGCAGAAGAGAATCCTTGTGATAGAAAAGATTTCTTATGAATTTCATTGATTAATTCCACTGAGAGACAAACAGAGACAGAATGTGACCATAAAAAAGCTGCAAAATAGAAATGTTGCAACTTGGAAAATGGCAAATGACAATTTATATCGCAATTTTAATTTGTTTCATTTTATGAAGACGGAGAGGGAGTAAAGCAGCATTATACCTTCATTTTATTGAAGTTAAACCTCTGAACAAATTCTTCATAAAGCATATCATCCTCTTTCTTGGAGATCTCATAATGATATTCATCCGGATCCTTGGTGGTGCCATCCCAACCCTCGGGCATAACCTTGTACTCTGGTTTGTATCGAAGGGTTGCTACGTGGAATTCCCGGTCATGGGCATTTAAAAGTCTGCAGCAGGAAATACACTTGAATTCATATCCACGATATTACCACTTTTTAGTTTACATACAGCATCTATAAAGCCTATATTGTTCTGCCTGATTTTCTTGAAACACACCCGGAAATGTATATGGGAAATAACTCTCTACCACCCTCCAAATAAAAGAGAAACTGAGAAACAAGTTGAACATACCCGTGTGAGACATATATCCATTTCCAACACTAACATCAGAGTCTAACATACCTTAGAGCAAAACAGCAAGAAACAGTGGACACGATTACTTTCGATACCTATCAAGATTAGCTTAACAATGTAAAAGAACAAGCTATAACAAAAAGCGAAACCCGACAACCTAGAAGTCAAATCATATAGGATGCACCAGTGTTACACTTCTGTCATTCTAAACACCCACCATTATCATTGAGCAGACTACATATCTAGCAGTACAAGGTTATACAGTTCAATGCATCAAACAACAATTTTTATCACCTTAAACTCATCAAACAAATGTCCTCAAACACGAAACAAAAATATAATTTTTAAAACTGGGGAAAAAAAGAGAAAAGAACGGAGGAAATTACTCAGGGCAACTGTCAAGAAGCACCTCGACAGAGTCATCAAGAGGAAGGGCATTTCTCTTCTCCATTTCCTCCTCATCTTTCTTAAGCCAAAGAATAGCTTCCACTCTCTGTCGCATAATCCTATAATCCTTAGCCAATTTCTCAACAGTATAAACCTCGGGATTCTCCTTATGCAAGCGGTACATTTCATCCTTTTCAGAGTTCTTAAGATAAGCCCCTCTAGCACCAGGCTCAAGCACTTGCTTCAACAAAACGCTCGTTTCGAGGAATCGCTGATCCCATCCATCGACGAACCGCTTAAACGTCCTGTTTTCCTCATTCAACTGTTTCACAGCACCGTATACATTCTCAAGATCCGAAACTGTTGCGGATTGCTCGGAATCGCCACTACTCTCTTGGGGACTCATGGTTCCATCAAAATGGTCCTTGGTCAAGCGACTGGACCACGAGGAAGCAGTGCCCCAACCCAGATCATCGGAATCATCGGATTTTGAACAAAACGCGCGTGAAGCCAATCCTCGAAATGGTTCGATTTGAGGGGACATGGATTTCTTCGGGGAAGAAAGACGGGATATCAGGATACGAAGATTATGCATTTTTTCATCCAGTTTATATAACAAGCTTAGCTGCACCCAAAGATTCAATAAAGCAAAATTAGTACCTCAAAACCTCCATAGATGTGAAAATACGTGATGGTTGAATAGGGAGAAATGAGACGAAAGAAAGGCTTAAAACCCAGAAATATAAAATAAAAAGGAATTAAAATGAGAAAATAAGGTGATGAAGAAACCCTTCAAAACCCTAATTCTTTTGAAGTTGGCGGAGCAAACACCAGTGTGGTGTATATAGTCCGGGTTGGATTTGGGCAATTGGGCTGCCTTAAGCATTCTTAATATATGGATAGTTGAATTTTAGTTTTGATTATTTATACTATATGAATTTTTTTAAATTTTGATTTTTTAAATTTTAATATAAGTGTCGACTATCATAGAAAATTTTTACAATTTCATAATAAAAACTCAAACACTCTTAATCTCTAATACTTGAATTTAAAATTTTTTAAATAACAATTATCTCTTTAATTAGTAAAATAACTTAATTCGTTATATATATATATATATATATATATATATATATTAAGAGGTGATACAATCATTTTTTCCTATACAACGCACATGCTAAAAAAACTAATATAATTCAGGAATGGGTGAAATCAAGCTCTTTTTCAAATTTACTTTTCATATTTTGAACGAGCTTGAGTCTTAAACCATAAATCCTAAATTTGAAATAATGAACTTTAGTTTTTATTTTGTCGTAAATCTTGCTTGTAATTAATTTTATTAGTGTATTTCAACCTATTTCGATATATATAGGTGCATATTGACCCCGGTTGGTATAAGATTAACTTTAAGCTTATCCCGCAAATGTATTAACAGAGTACACAAAATATATGAAAATAAGGGATCACAATTGTCTTCGTTTGATCAAGAATACCTAACAGTGGCTACTGATCTACAAGGGATCACAATTGTGGGCAATGAAACCCATATTCATTCAGATATGATACTAATACTAATATCGAATCGGTTAAAGAAACTGCTTTAAAAACTCCGTAGCCACCAGCCTTCCTCGCGTACTTACCGACATTTTCAATTCAGTTATCTCTTTATCGATATCCTGCAATTTTGAAAACAACAAAAAAAGTTATAAACTTGAACACGATACACACTACCTACCAGAGAAACCGTAATAAGTACAGAGACATGACCCTCGAAATATAAGAGATTGACCATAGCAATGTCTGACACGTACTCCTATCCAACTCTCCCATCCAGTCCGAGTCAATGGAACGGCAATAGAATAATGAAACAGCTGACAATAATTTTGGTTCTTAAGTTCAGTTCGAGGAAGGCTGGAAATTATAGTTAAAAGTTTTTTGGATGGTAAAATAGTGTCCATAAATCAAAGATGAGTGCCAGAGTTCAACGGTGGCTCAGAGTAAAGGTTTAAGTTTGTATCTTAAGAAATATACGGGGGTTCTACACGTTTTAGTACGAATACGATATTACCAGAAGTGATTTTAGAACTAGGGAATGAGGGAGAAAGTAAAATGCAAAGTGAAGAGCAGAGGCAAACATACTTAAATATCCCTCGAAGCATTTCTTCTTAAATCTTTTGAAAGTGTTCATACTATATACACAAGTGCAGAAGATGATGCAGTTGCAAACTCTGGAGTATATATATCTTACCTCCATGAATTGCACGATAAAATCGATGAGCTTTTGTTTCTGCATATCTTCACAGTGGTAGTTTGTGATAAGGAAACTGATGTCATAACCCTGCTTAATGAAGCAATCGATTGAAAATTCACTAGCACTTTAAACTATGAAGAAACGGAATAAATTTTTGGTTTACATTTACAATAAGCCCTCTCATAATCCAAGAACATGCTTTACCAACTTAACAAAACAATTCATCACGATATTGTCTACTCTGCTATGTATTTCGAGCAAGTAGTAAATGTTGATTATAATTGAACTTAAAGTGTATCCGGAAAGTGTCAAAACAATAATAAAGAAAAGGAAATCAAGTTATACATAAGGCAGCCTCAGTTCATGAATGAAATCAAAATTCAAGAGCCATGTGTAGTCAAATTTCAGTGCTGAAACGGATATATAGTAAAATAATCAGTAAGTAGAGAGACACCTATGCTAAACAAGTTTAAGAGGTTAGTGTGTATTAAAAGGAAAGAATTAAAAGTCTTCACCCACAAGTGGCAAAATATAGTGATTGTCATGATTGCTTTTGCAAAAATGGTGTACACATAATCATTCCTCAAGGCAAGTTAGTTGTTTAATCACATCAAGTTGTCAAGCAACATAACTTAGAAGACAAATCAAGTGCCGACTATTATGTACCTGTACTGGTTTTCTTCTCAAAACTTGAAATGCTTCTGCCCTCATTGACAAAAACCTAAGAAACTTTTTAGCTAGGATATTTTCAAGTTCATCAGCCTGTTTTACCTATACAAGAAGAAGAAAGTACATATATTAGAACAAAATGGGAGGAAAACAATGCAAAACTTGTCCTGATATTAGTTAAGAATAAACTTCTTATCTTGAATCCAACAAAGTTTAATAGAAGAGAAGACATCATCCTATGAAGAGCGGTTTAGATTATGAAATAACAGATTCCCTTTTAACATTATAGATGATTAGGAGAAGAAAATAGGAGATATTTCCTCCTGAATAATTCATCTCTGGCTGGAAGAAAACTTCCCTTTGAAAAATCAAAAACTAGATTTCAAAAGTTGAACCAAGTTCAACTGAAACCTTCAACAAATGGACTGAAAACAAGCGCAATAGATTATTCCAGTTAATTTTTTTTGGGGGGGTGGAGGGGGAGAAAAAGGGGCCCAATGGTTTATCTTGAAAAAAATCTATCATTTTAAATATAAAATAGTCGTCAGCATCATGCATGTGATGCTGTTTATTTAATCCAAAAGCAGGAAAAACATTCAGACCCACTTCACAGCAATTATCACTACCGGGCAAAAGAAACATACAGGGAAAGATTATTTATTTTCACCTTGAGGCTTATCCTTAGTGAATTGATAGATGTTTCTATTAAGCATTTTTCAGCCTCATTTCGACATATCAAAACCTGCAGTTGCAAATGGGCATATTAAAAGAATCCAAAACCAGCAACCTAAAAGCAAGTTTGCAAGGGCTAACTCAACAAATAACTAATCATTTTCTAGCTCTACCAATTTAATCACATAAAATCAACTCTAATAGAAGCATGTATCTCGATGTTATTATTCATCGTTGCATTGCAGGACATTGATAGTTGAGAGATGGGAAAATGTCTAGTGTGGAGGCAGACTAGTAGCATACCCCTTGGTCTAGTGACAAACCCCTATGGCTTCATAATTTCAAGAAACGTTAAATCAGCCTTAATTTGTCCAATTTGTATTTTTCAATCCTCCAGTTCAAGCTCAAAAACAACATGTTGAAGGTATGTAAAGATATTAAGCGCTTAATATAAAAATACAAAAATTCCATAATGGGTGGATTCTTGTTTGCCTGAAAACTTAACAGTGAAAATGCAGAAAACACAAGGTCAGGCTCCATTCCATAGTTGCTTTGGCTACTTTCTTTATATAGTTTGTTTTTCCTTCTTGGCTTATATTGTTTCCTTTTGCTTCCTTTAATTGTTCAGTTGTTATAAAGCAAAAGCAAATGGTAGAAAAGAGGATAAACTGGACTAAAGATGAGCAAAGAAATAAAATGAAAATCAGTAAGGTATAGTTTTCAATTTGGTTGTTCCTCAGTGTGTGCGTGTGTAATAAGTTAAGCTATAAAGGAAATGATGAATGTCTCTTAAGTCAAGAAGACGGTTCTTACAGGATTTAGCAGAAGTTCTGGGCTTGTCCTGCAAAAAATGAAAAGGAAAAACATAAAAAGTTTGCCCAGAAGTGTAGAATACTGGGTGCAGAACATGGAAGTTTTCACAGTTAGATTAGAGAGGTAAGATGTCCACTTCGATCGTTGGTCAATATACAAAAATATTACAATCAAATAAAATTTATTACTGAATTTCTTTAGAGGTATTTTTCATTACACTGCCATCAAAATGAAGATAGTATCATACGAATTACTACTAAATATGCATGAAAAAACAGAAAAAAAGCTTCAAATGCTTAAAATATATAGTAAAATAAAGAAACAAAGAAGAGCAGTAACTATTAACTTGCTAAATAAAGGCCCATGTACCCCCTCACTGAAAATTTTGTTGCAGAAAAGAAGAAACTAGAATTTTCAGATTATGCTAACGGCTTGGGGAGGGGAGGGAGCATGGCAATCTAAATAAAGAAGATGGGATAAGAAAATTGAAAGAGCAAAGCATGGTAAAAGACTTGCATAAACGAATGGCTTCAGAGACTTGAAACAATGCCTGCATCTCAGAAACATAAAATCATTCTAAAATCACCAAAGAAATTATTTAGCTTTAATGAAGCAAAATTAACTGGAGCTCCTACACCATGGCATTAGTACTATTTAGGAAAAAGGGGGGAAACCTTTTGAATAGAAACTCTAAACAAGACTTTGTCAGTCTGAGAACTTGCCAATTAAATGTAAGAGCATAACTAAACAGCTAATCAGTTAAGACTGGTCTATGATCAGCATATCATAAGTAGCAACGTTTGTTATCATTTCTTATTAATCTTTCAACACCATGTTAGTACTTTGAGCACTTTCTATTCATATAAATTTATACACTCAAAAAAATCAAATTCTTAAATAATAAATTAAAGATGAAAGTGAAATCAATATACATACTTTAGTTCAACTTCTGGCTTGTTATGCCTCTCAACTTCTTGACAAGGAAAATTCTGCAACCGACATGTAAATAAGAGAGCAAGATTGAATGAGCAGACATATCACGTAACCAAAAACAAAAATCAAAAGATATGCTTTGCCAATCAACACGTTTAATTGAGATACATCTTTCATTTTGCATATGGTTGTTCAAAGGAACACCAGTCTGTATAGATTAAATACACCTTGTAACTAGAGTACAGAACCACCATAACGACGAAAGGATCTTCAAGCTTTAAATTTTGTGATGATGTAGAAAGTGCATATATGCACTGAAAATTGGAGGAAAAGCCCCCTCTATTCATTATCCACATTCCGAAGGAGTTCAAAGACCATTCCCATGAACAAAACATCATACATTTCTAACCATTCCCATCTTACTACTTAAAATCCTCAGCTCTTAATCTATGAGCATTATGTCAAACAAAAGGCTGGTGGCTAAACCTCCTTTTCCAAGCCATTCTAGCAACCACAAATAGTAAAATACAAAATCCATTCATAGAACTTCAGAACATAAACTTCAGGCATTACAGTTTCTCTATCGACACTCTCTAGCAATTACTATACAATAAACTTATAAACTCCATTTGCATACCTGGAGACACATAGCAGCTTCAAGAGTGTTCCTTACGCAAGTCAAATACAGCTTCAATGGGTTTGCCTAAATTTTTTAGTTAAAATCAATAAGAGGAATCACTAAAGAATGCATTAAGCTTTTGCGATGAAGTAAAGAATCTATTAAAGAACCACTAATTTTGTTTTAAGAAAAACCGAAACAAGCGAGAAATCAAGCAATTGGATCCAAAACTAATTTCAAAAAAATGGAAGGATAACAGAGGGGGAAAGAAGGAGAAACTGATTTTTTTTTCTTCAATAGGAAAAGGTAAGCGTAAAGCAAATGATCTAGAATCTATAACGTAAATATCAATATTTGTACTTTTTCTAGTAACTTTCTAGGCAACCAAACAGATTTAAGTAAAGGAAAAATTCGGAGTTCTTACCATTTTTCTTCTTTTGATTATCCCTGGATTTAAGCAACTGAGAGATAAAAAGAACGATTTAAGCAGTTGGCTTTGGCGTTATCGCTTCGCTAATTGTTTGTTTTGCTTATGAATGAAAGTAAAATTATTTGCCTAATGAAATCCTCTTCCTCTTTTGAATTGAGAGAACAATGATCGAAAAAAAAATCCGACCTACCGGATTCGAACCAGCGACCTAAGGATTGGCTGAAGTCTATAACCAACTACAGTCCTCCGCTCTACCAACTGAGCTAAGGTCGGTTTTATTAAGTTGGTTCAATGTATTTTATAAATATTAAAAATAATCATTTCCCTACTTTAAACTACCCTAAATCTTTTATCAATTTTAAATTATAACGAACTTAACAATAACATATTGTATTTTAATAATTAGTTTTATTAAAAAAGATGATATATCTAGAATTATAATAGAGGTCTATAATCATAATCCTAAACTAAACATATAATTAGGATATTTTACTATAACTATTGACACACAAAAATAGTCACTTAAGATCATATAAGGAAAATGTTAAAAACCTAATAAAAAAGTTCAAACAAAAAATAGATACAAATAGTTCTAATCGTATCGATAAACAAATCACAAAAGGGAATCAAACTACTATAATACCACAGACAAACCACAAATCATAGTTAAATGACGTGAAAAAACGATCTACAAACGTAAATCATGTATCCAAAACTAATTTGATGGTACAAAACAAAGAAGAATAACATGATAACAAATAAACAACATATATATTTATCACTCGAGATGATATCAAATCCAACCATAAAGAAAAGTTAAACGAAAACAACGACCAAACAATCGAAAACGAATACCGAACACGTACAGAAAAAAACCAAAGACAAGATAAAAAAAAAAGAATAATGACGTTCGACGACCATCTACCAATCACGATGCTTACCAAATAAAGATTAAAAAAAAGGTACGATGTTTTAGGGCTTTTAGACGCGAGGAGAAAACTAATAATAACTACAATTAACGTTTAAATTGCTTATAATCTCTTCAAATAAAAAAACAATTATATGAAGAAGAAAAATTAAGAAAAATGGGATAATTCATTTCAAACTTAGAAAATCAAGAGTGTACATTAGCTGCGAATAATGCCTAAATTAATTCAGAAAAAATCAAATAAAAAACATAACACAACTATTTTGAAGCGCCCAATTAGCCAACAAATGTGCTGCCATATTGGCTTCTCTACGAACAAAAAATGACTTTAAACCCTCCGTTTGCTACCAATATTTTGCGAGCCTCTTGAAGATGATAACCAAGGGTTGAAAGATCTCCATCGCTTCTATTCAGTTTGTTGACCGATAGAGGGGAGTCGGATGCAAGGCACACCATCTGCCAATCACGATCATAAGCAAACCGGATCTCAACGGTAGTCGCATGTTTTTCAGTTAACCCTGCCTCTCGACACAGCAATGAAGACTGTGTCAGTCCACCCAAAATTTGGTCTAGGTGAACGGCTCACTCACTCGATTAGGTATATGAACTTTTTGAACCATTAAGTTAAGTTCATATATTTAATTAAATAAAAAAAACTATCAATTTAAATCTTAAAATCAAGTTTAATCATCTAATTAAACAAAAAGTATTTAAGCACCCCCATTAAACTTAGAAATCAAATTCAAATCCTAAAAATATTAAACATTTAACCTATACATTGAATTATTGAAATTTTTTCTCATTTCATTTAATATTCCAATCCATAACATCCCATACGTGTCATACATAGTTAAATTATATGATTGATTAAAGATTTTTAAGAGTAAATTTAATATTACTCTTACATTTTGAAAAGTGTTATGAAAGTTATTTAATTTTCATTTCATATATAAAAATCATATTCTTTTAGAAGATAATATTTACTCTAAAGGTCAACGTGACCATTACAACCATGAACGAACAAAATAATAGAAGAATGATAACCGTACAAATAATATTTAGCTAATTAAAACTAACCAATAATTTGAAGGAAAAAGGAACGAAAGAATGTAGATTGGGGTATCTGTTTGGGGGGGGGGGGTTGAGAGGTGTGAGGTTAAGAATCACTCAAAATTTCATTAGCCAATTATCTGGCTAACTTGTCAGCACGATCATCGTAGCCAACGGCAAATGAGTAAACCCTAAATGCCATTTGAAAAGCTCTCCATAGCAAATTCTTATTCACTTTCTTTTGTACATCAGCCTTGCATGCTGCACCTTTTGTTTCTCTCCATTCTTGCAAGGAAAATATGTTATGGAACATAGTTCGAGAATCTAATACGAGTGAATACATTCGATATAAATACAATTTATGAATAAACTTTTCAAGAATAAAGTTATTTGTTTAATTTATACGATCAAATTCCTTAAAATACTTGTTTGAGTCGAGTGAAGTCGATATATGTTATATATGAGTATATTTGATTTTATGAAGAAAAAAAATTCATCTCCCACAGAATTGTCACCTATAAATATTGCCGTTTGGCTCAACCTGAAATTTTTGTGGTATGACTCATTTGGTGAAAAAATGAGGATCTACGGTGGATGCGAAGCGTGAAGCGATAGCCCATCATTGATCTAGTTGAGATATGAGGTCTGAATCCTCACATTATAATACAGTTAGAATTATTGTGTTTGTACCATGGTTATCAAAACCGGACCGGACTAGCCAATTCAACCGGTTGAATCGTGAACCGGTGGCCTGTCTGGTCCGATTACCTCACAAAACCGGGCTGGCAATGAATCAGCTGAAAACCAGTAGAACCGACTGAAAACCGGTAAAACCGGGGTGAACCGGCTGAAAACCGGCAAAACCGGTTTGAACTGTCAGTTCACTTTTTTTCTTTAAAAAAAATTAAACCAAACGACGTCGTTTGTTCAATGAGTCAAGTCAAATTCGAGTCTCAAACTCGAAAACTTTAAAAGTAAGCTCAACTCGACTCAAAAACTCACGAGCTAAAAATTATCAAGTTCAACTCGAACTCGAAATATAATATTAAAACTTGAATTCGAAAAGGCTCGAACTCAAAAAAAATTTAAAAGTTCGATTGAAGCCTAAAATTTGAGCTCAATTAAAGCGAAAGAATAGTTCGCTCTGTGCTCACCAAAAAGCTCTATGATTTTGAATGTCAAATTATCTCTATTATTTTTAGAAGTAAGTTGGGATGCTCTTCTATGTTTTTTAGCCACGTGGTATTGTTTTGTTCTCATATTTTTACTATTAAACTTTTGGGATGCTCTTCTATGTTTCTTAGCCATGTAAGATTATTTTTTTTAAATAAACCAAATGACATCATTTGTTATGATTTTTTTAAGTCTCAATTTTATTTTTTTGACTATAGTTATATAATTATATTTATTATTTAATATGTTTTACCTTAAATATTATGTTGTAGTTGATTTGAATCAATTTGTTTCACATGATTTTATGGTTTTTAATTTATATATGTTATGACTTGTGATATTTTTATACATTTTAATATTGTAAACTTAAAAAACGTGTTACATATATATTAATATTGCTTTGAATATTATGTAAAATTAAAAAATATTATTTTATATAAAATCGGATTCAACCACGGTTGAACCCGATTGAACCAGTGAACTAGTACCTTCACTGGTTCAATGTCCGGTCCGATTTTAAAAATAATGTTTTGTACAATTTAATATACATTTCCAAGATTTTCAAGGTTAATGTACTCTCGTATAATATTTTTATAATTTGTCACTAGACTATAATGAAATTCTCTCTCATTGCCCCTAATTTTTTTTCTTGTTAAGCTTATATATATATATATAAATCTTTATATTTTGTTTCTTTTTTTTTAATTTACGAATGTTTACTTATTATTATTATAACAATTATATCTAAGAATGTGTTGAGCACAAATACTTTGAAGAAAATGGCTAACCTTGAGTACAAGCTCCATGCAGTTGGAAGAAACATCCACCATCAGCTTTTTGATGGTAACAAATATATTGAAGTCGAAATCAATCCCATGTCTCTTGAAGTTCCTTGATTCCTCATCTTTTGTCCTTCCAATTGCATCCAATTCTGTTTTAATCTTCACCCACAAATAAATAAATATTTTTATATTTGTATCGAATCGAGTTAAATTTTTTCCGAGAATTTAGATCATATGGAACCTTTTTAAATATAAGTCGGATCAAATTTTAGATGAAAATAGTATACTTCTCATATCATATCGAATTGATTAGAAACTGACCCATGAAAAAATTGACTCACCCCCTCCTAGACCCTTTTAAATTTTGTTCATATTCTCCCACATTCATATATTTAAGGCTGAACTATACGTTTAATATCTAAACTATTACTATTGTTATGTTTTAGTACCTAAATTATATTTTATTTTTTAAAAGTATACATAACATTTAGTTTAGATTTCATTTTGGTATCCATCGTTAAGAACTTGGCAGTGATGTTGACATGTCACCATAAGATAATGCCACATCATCATTGAAAAAAAATAAAAGAAATGTCACATTAGAAATTATGTTAATTTTTTAACGAATGGTATCAAATTGAAACTTAAATTAAACGTTAGGTATGATTTTGATGGGGAAAAAAAACAAAATTTGGGTGCCAAATGTAGTTTACCCTATATTTAAAGAGTCATATAAAAATATTATATACAAATATTTTGAAAATATAACAAATCGAAACAACATAATTCGAAAATCACCTTGGTGAAATAGCGATCGAATTTGATCAAGAGTTGTGCAGCGGGTGACTTCACTTCCCAACTCTTTAATTTAGAAATTATGGAGTTTGCTTCAGATAACAACGCGGCACGGCGGCTGCCCTTATCGTTTCCAATTTCTTGGTGGGGAAATCCTCGAACTTTGCAAGCACCTACACCTTAATGCATTAACAATCATGACGATTAAACAAGTTCAGTCATGAAGAATTAATATTGAGGGATCCATCGATTTCTCGATAATAATTTTTGAAATAGACTGTCTTAGTCTTTGAGAGATCGTTCAATTTTATTAGTAGAAGTCTTCAAAATATTATTACGGGGAAATCGATCAAAATTTTAACAAGGATTGATATTGTGCTATTATAATGTTTGTATATTTTTAGCCTTGAGATCTTGTTAAGTGTCCGCTTTATATTTAAAGGAATGTGCATAGTCACATGAATTACAAAGTGTTTACATCAAGAGAAATTAAATTCTACCCTTCAAGATCGAGAGATAAAATCTTAAAATTGAAATAATCTTAACACTTTATAAATATAATATCAACCAATGTTGAAAGTTCCGACCAAACAATTTCACAAATAACAGTTCAAAATTTTCATTTCAGAAGATAATTTCATCAACTATGGAACGGGATGATTCCTTAACAAGAATGATGAGACGATTCATGCATGGAATTGGTAATGACGTGTATAATTTTATGTACTATTAATGAACCAAACGAGATAAATTATATACGGTTAATACATCGATATATATACAAATATACTGACCTGACTTTCATCCGTTAGATCTTCAAGGATGTAATCTTTATCTTGTTGGAACTTAACGAGCTCATCCATGTCCTTCGTCTCAAAAGAGTTAATGGCTGCTTTCAGTTCCAGTATCGTCTTGCCATATTTCTCAACATCTTCTTCAATTTGTTTGAAGAGTGGTGATCTAAGACCCACAATAAATAAATAAATTCAATTTAGTCACTGATCTTAAAAGGAAGAAAAGAAAAAGAAGCAAGAAAAACCTTTGCGTTAGTTCTTGTAAAGAAGCAGCTAATCCCTCTTTTCCTCCAGCAGAAGCCCCGAGTTGCTTCCTGGTTCGACTAGTTATCTTTATTTGCAATCTTGTCCCTTCCAACTTTGTTCTTAAATATCTGAAAAGATTACTCATTATGCTTGATTTCTTCAATTTACCAATGGAGTGATTTCGGGTTAACAATTTCCCGGCACTGATTGGCGGTGGCAGCAGAGGTCCAGCGCTCCTTTTCGGTGCCATAACCGGCAGAAGTTGCGGCAGTGGAGCTGCCGGTGTGTTTATGGTGATTCTTAAGTGTGAATATCAGATAGCTTTGCTTTATGGTGGACTTTGAAGAACAAGAAGGAACACAAGTTTGTATGTTGTTAAGAGATTGAGAAATTTGGAGATGTAAAATAAAGATTGAGTATAACGTAAAATACATTATTAGTCACTAATTTATTGTTTCTTTTTTATTTTGGACATTGAATTGTATTTTAGCAAAAATGTCACCATCGATATTTTTCCTATTTTGATCATTGACGGTTAATAATTTAACAGTGACATTGATATGATATTTTCATTTTGAATTTTTACATTTTTCTATCTTCATCAATAGCCCATGTATCACCACCTTATTAGTAAAATAAAATAAAATCAAAGAGAATTTAAGTGATGACAATGTCACTATCATATTTGTAAAAAATAATGACACATGAGTTGTTGATTAGGAGAGAGAAAAAATGATGCGAGAATTAAAAAAAACGTATCAGTGCCATTATTAAGTTTTTAATTATCAGTGACTAAAATAGGAAAAAAGATAACATTAGTGATGCTTTTGTCAAAAAAAATAATTTGGTAATTAAATTAAAACAAGACAATTGGTTATGACTAATGATGTAATTTACCAAAAATATAACTGTATGACTCTCACCTGCTGTTCGATGGCATATGTTGCATGCTATTAGGTTAAGCTTTGCCCTATCAATGATTTCCGTGTTTTGATCCTAACAATAAGCCAAACAGATATGATTAATTACACATAAATTACTTGAATTTATTTTCAAAAATATTTTATGTGGTATATTTTAAAACACACACGTATATATAATCAATAAATACAATAACTTTACCCATGACTGATAACAACCTTTTTCATAGCTGAAAACGACGTAAGACGAGGTGGTTCTCATATTTATGATTAATGGATCAATTATGTAACTCGAGAATAAAAAATAATTATCATCGTTACGAATGAAATCAAAAGGTTTTGTTAAAAGCAATTAGGGTTCTTGAAACCCCCTCATCCTCCACACCCAAGAAACATTCTCTCCTCACCAACAAACCAAAAGCAACATGATGGCACTTATGAATATTATATAATTAGATGGTCAATTTTTCAAATTAGATAAATTTAAAGCCAAAAATGGAAAAAGTAGAAATTGGAGGAGAGGGAAACGGAGAATCCAAACATAATATAATCATAATAAAAATATTGAAACGTGTAATGCTTGAGAGTTGCATTCTACCATATTTGTACCGTCAGTAGTATTGCATTTATAACAAGTGCATCTTTTAATGTTGTATTAACAATAATAATAAATAAATAATATTAAAATAAAATACATAAATTTAATAAAAAAAAATTCAAAGGAAAAATAACGGATAAAAAATAATTTCATTGTAATCAAAAATAAATTATAAAAATATTATACAATAGTACAATATACTTTGGAAATAAGGATGAATGTACGACTTTATCTTAGAATGTATAGATTATTAAGAAATTGTATTAAAACTCTAGGGATATAAAATCGAAATTATATCATTAATAAAAAGTATAAAGAAGATAAATAAATTATACGAAATTTTAAAATTTCTAAAAGGACGGTCTCTTTAGTATCTTCTCGACCCATCTATGCTTGGAACCTAGATACATATATATATAGTTGTATGACCCAAAACTCTACGCATTTACCGTAGATCTTCATTTTTTTTTTTCTTCTAAATTATTTATTAATTAAGTAGGTAACATTTAATTTTTTTTTACTAAACCACATAAAATTCAAATCACAAACACTAATGGATCATTTATCGAACTTATGTTTTATCTTGAAGGGACGAGACTGCTACCTTTTAACTAATAGTTAAATTGATGACAAAAATGACATATAATTTAAATAAAAAATATATGATTTATTTTATTTTTTCATATTCATTTTATAATTCATGTTTAAATATTAAGGTAAAGTATATAAAATGTTACTCGACTATAGAATATTGTTTTGTTGCGTCCTGGACTATTAAAAATTACAAAATGACATCTTAATTATAAGATATTATTTTATTGAGTCCACAACTATTAAAAGTTACAAAATGATAACTCAACTATTTATGTGTTCTAAACTCACCTTTTTGTCAAAAAATTAACAGTCGTCTGAGCTAGACGTTAACATATTGATTGAGATATGATAAAATCATATTTTAATGATGTCTAATAGCACATTTGTTCCTTTCAAGCACTGGTTTGATTGAATAATGTTCAAATAGTGACTCGACAATATAATATAAACAGAGACTCAATCCATATAATACAACTCAAACAGTTATGAGATTATATTTTATCATATGCCAGTGAGCAGGTTAACGTCCAACTCAGATGGTCGTCAAATTTTTAACGAAAAAGGATGAGTTTAGAATATATAAATAGTTGAGTGACTATTTTATAAATTTTAATATCTAGAGGATTTAATAAAACAACACTTTATAATTTGGGGACTACTCGTGTACACTTTACCCTAAATATTAATATTTTCTCTTCCAATAATATCGCCTTCAAATTTATTATACATTGAACACTTGTTATTCGCTCACTGAAGGTTACGGGTAAAATCCAGACCCGGCCCAGTAAACGAAGGCCAATCAAACAAACTGTCGCTTTTATCCAACCGCCAAATCCAGCTCCTTACCCTACCTTCTCTAAAACTATACTCTGATCAAATTCACTGCAACTAAAATCCTAACCATAACATCATAAGATCTAAAACCTCCAGATCTGGAAACACTTTTCTTTTTTTCACTTCCTAGTTATGCGGAGGTTAGACTGATTATCTTATTAATTTTCCATGAAAAGTTTTCGTTTTCCATTGATCCAAACATGTATATTGTTGAACTGTCCTTTTTCTTCTGTAGGCCGGGGCTGCATAGGCAGCATGGAAAGCAAGGAGGGGGAGGAGCTAAGGGAATTTACGTTAAGCTCGCGGTTTCTGTTGTGGTGCTTTTGATCTGCACGTTCTCGCTTTTCTTTTCGGCTACGATCGGTGGAAATCGCGGATCTCTCGAGCCTTCTGAGGTTTGGAGTAGTGTTCAGAATGTGATCTCTCTTATTTTTTTGATTTTCGATAATGGTGTTTGTTTGTTTTCTAATGAAAATGCTAGGAAAATGATAGGAGAGTTTGAACTTGGAGTAATGACTGAGATTCGTAAGTTCAGTCATTGTTTAGAAGTTTAATGAGTTAAAGTGGAGTAAATTTGAGCCACGTGTTTCATTTGATACTGATCTATTGAGTTTAATCATTGTTCGGAGCTTTAATTCCTTTGTTCAATTGAAACGTGTATTGAGTTTGTTTTTGGATTGTTAAACTTAAAGTTAGAAATGCTATGAAGATGAATATCTTGTTATAATTTGCTGCTAGGTTTACAGGACGAATGAATATCTAATAACATTAATGTGACATTCAATGCCAAAAAGATGGTAGAAAGCCTTGCATTTATGCTGTTTGACAGTTTGGCCATTATAGATGGTTTTAATTTTTAGATTATGTGTCGGTTTTTTTCTTTGGAATAGTCCCCTTTCATGTAATTATTTATGGTCCCAGTCAAGGTCATAGATTTATTAGAATGTTTGAGCCTAAATATAAACTGAGGATTTTCTATCACGTAACGCACTTAATAGATGCTATAGGAGAATCTCTTGGATGGTGCCGTTGAAAAGCCGTCATTTGGCTAGTCGTGGATAGTCTCATGTTTAGATCTTGTAATCTTCGTATAGCTCATGCATTTACCTATTAATTACATGAAATTTTTCAAAGTATAAATGCTTTATATATTTCTTTGGTCTGGTGTTATTCTGATTGCAAGAATGACAGTATCATTTCTCAATTTTCAGAAATTAAGTTGTTTTTATGCGTGGTTACTCTAACCAGATTTGTTGATAAGTTCTGTTACCTTTATAGAGTGTTCTGTACTCAGGTAATGGTGCATGAGACTGGTTCTTGTATTACTTTGAACCGTCTGCATGCGTGAGCTGAGCCCGTGATTAGGATTTATATCATCCTTTTTAACTTTTACTTGTTGGTCAGCAGTCTTAATACTTTTAGCCTTTGACCATTATTTCCTCTGATATGTTTATTCAGATTAACGCCGAAGAACTTTGGGAAAGTGCCAAGTCAGGTGGCTGGAGGCCATCATCTTCTCCACGATCTGATTGGCCTCGTAACTACTAATAACTTTGTAGAAGAAAAACAAATCTATTTAAATTGGTTTCTGCAAAAGATACAAGTTTCTGATAATTCTAAATTCTAATTGTTATATTCTGGCAGCTCCTCCAAAGGAAACTAATGGCTATCTTCGAGTTCGTTGCAATGGTGGTCTGAATCAGCAGCGCAGTGCGGTTTGTCCTAAATTTGTCCATAAACTCTAATCTGATGCATTCTGTTAATGGCTTCTCCAATAAAATTAAATTGGGTGCAAACCAGCTTGAGTTTTTATGTTAGATGTTTTAAATTCTTTACCCAAAAGTGCTTATGAGTCATTACCCAAGTTTAAACTAGGGTTATATTTTGGTGATACTACTTCAATGGTGTACTTGGAATAAAAATAGTAAGTTTACTGCTTTTGATGTTTTAGATCTGTAATGCGGTTCTTGCCGCACGAATTATGAATGCCACGCTTGTACTGCCCGAGTTGGATGCGAACTCCTTTTGGCATGATGACAGGTAGTCTTGTCCTTATTTTAATTTCCCTGAATTTAGCTGGTTACCATTCGATGATGAAAGCAGTGAAATTTTAATGCTATTAACACTACAATTTTAAATTAACAGTTCAAACACTTTCTTAACTGGGCTGCAAATTTTAGGGTGGAGTTTTAGGATGTTAATTTGTCATTTGCATTTTTCTTCCACAGTGTTGATGCAATATGTAGTGAGTGAAATTCTAATTTCTTACATTCAATAGCTCAACAACGCTAATCGAACATTGTTAAATAACAGCGAGTGGTTTGATATTTTCCTCCTCTGCATGATTCGTGAAGATCAACATATGTTTGGTTTCTACATGGCTTTGGCTTTTCTAATCTAGGTTGCTTTCTCCCTTTGGTATCTTATAAATAAACTTGCTATTGTTGCAGCAAGTTTGTGTTTATTTGTTTGGTATACTTGAGTCGTCACCATTTCAATATATTCTAGTCAAAGTTAGCTGTAGGATGTTTTTTACTGTTGCTTCTCCTTAGAATTGAAACGCCATTGAAGGTGTATTTCCAAAGTCTACATTGATTTGCTGCAAATATGTTTGATGTTTATTTGCTTTGGTCGAGAGCATTAACTATTAACCTGCCTAAACAATAACCGGAAAGATACACGTGTATATTACGTAGAATATGTTTCCTGGGTCTTCAATGAGGCCAATTGTCTATGTTTCTTGTGGGTCTTTTGCAATTAAATGTGCTTACCATTTTTATTTCTCCAGTGGTTTCCAAGGTATCTATGATGTTGAGCATTTTGTCCAGACACTGAAGTATGATGTACGAATAGTGGAAAGCATACCCGAAACTCGGAAAAATGGAAAAACCAAGAAGATAAAAGCGCATCAGGTGAACTATTGATACCTTTAATTGTTAATTATTCAAATAATGTTATCTTGAGAAGTTGTTGAAATTTAGTACCTTTTCTGTTCTTGTAACCTTTTCACTTTGTCTAGATTCGCCCCCCTAGGGATGCTCCTATAAGTTGGTATACAACAGTTGCTCTCAAGAAAATGCAGGAGCATGGTGCTATTTATCTAACTCCCTTTTCACATCGCCTTGCTGAAGAAATTGACAATCCGGAGTATCAACGTTTGAGGTGTAGAGTTAATTATCATGCTTTAAGGTTCAAGCCAAATATTATGAAGTTAAGTGAGTCAATAGTTGATAAACTCCGTGCACAAGGTCATTTCATGTCGATACATCTTCGTTTTGAGATGGATATGCTAGCATTTGCCGGGTATGTTGTATCCCTTATCTTATTGCACCTATATTGCTTAATATGTAGCTGCTATAGATTGAGGGTTATGCACATAATTTTGCTTGGGATTTGTGCTCGAGTATCTTTAGCTGCAAGATAAAAGAAATGTAAGAGGTATTTTTTTCTGAAAAATACATGAGATCTCGAGGACTGCAAGACCATTCAGACATGCATATATCTGTGTTTCAAACACACTCATGCTTTCGGTTGAAATGATTATAATCGTTTTAAATATGTGTGCCCATTTCCTCTCCTCATGTTGAGGCTGATGCATTTTGCTTGACAAATGATAATAAATGCATCCATATTTTCATTATTTTTTTATCCACTGTGTGACCTCTAGTTTCTATATTGTATTGACTATTAACACATGAGTTGACATTAACAAATGTCATAATACGCATATAGACCTCGATTGGCTAACGGGCTCGATTACTTTACAGGTGCTTTGATATATTTAGCCCTGAAGAGCAAAGTATATTGAAGAAATATAGAAAGGAAAATTTTGCAGAGAAAATACTTGTTTATAAAGAAAGAAGGGCCATAGGGAAATGCCCACTAACTCCAGAGGAGGTAATCTATCTTGTTAATCGTTCCTCTGATGATTTTTCTCTCCCTACTTATACATAAAGTGGCAATGATGCTTTGTACATAAACTAGCGTTTGAACTGCAGGTTGGTCTTGTCTTGCGTGCTATGGGATTTGACAACTCTACCCGGATATACCTAGCATCCGGTGAATTATTTGGCGGGGAGCGATTTATGAAACCATTTCGTGATCTGTTCCCTCGCCTTGAGAATCACAGTTCTGTAGACGCTTCAGAAGAACTAGCTACAAACACGAGGGGGTTGGTAGGCTCCGCTGTTGATTATATGGTCTGTCTTCTTTCAGACATTTTTATGCCAACATATGATGGACCAAGCAACTTTGCCAACAATCTACTTGGTCACCGTCTCTATTATGGTTTTCGGACTACAATTAGGCCCGACAGGAAAGCTCTTGCTCCAATATTTATCGACCGAGAGAATGGACAGACTGCTGGTTTTGAACAAGCTGCCAGGCGAGTCATGCTTAAAACAAACTTTGGCGGACCTCACAAGCGGGTGCCACCCGAATCGTTTTATACAAATTCTTGGCCAGAATGCTTCTGTCAAGTGTCACCTAAAAATCCTGCTGACAAATGCCCACCGGATAATGTGTTGGAAATTTTAGACAGACAGTTAGAGAAAGAAGCAAGTAGTGACCTAGCAGCCTTGGCCGGAACAAATTCAACACGCCAGACGGAAATATGAGAGTTTCGATTTGGATTTTTATATGGTATGCATCTCCTTAGAAACCAGAGGAAGGAAGTAATTTGGTCTGCCCTTGTTGGGTTACGGAGGTAAGCTTCATGACTGTTTTCTTCTTTACTTAATGCTCATTTTTCCATTTTAGTACCTCAATTATCATTTTTGTTCGAAATCCGAATTTACGCCAAAATTATCGATGTCGACATTCTTATTAGCAGATCTTTTAATTTGCATTAAACGAGGACAAAAATGGTGGTTGACGTGTCAAAAAAGAAGTTTTAAGTATCAAAATGAGAAAACATTTCTGAACATTTTGTAGGAGATGCCGAAAGATCACTAGGAACAAATTGGTTTGGAACAAATTGGTTTGGAGCACATGGCCCCTAGCTTTTAATTGGGAAGGTAAGTTCTACAATTGAGATTGTATTTGTTTAACGACTGAACTCTGCCCCCCTAAAAAAGAAAGAACCGTAGGTATTGTATGATGTCTGATATCTTTAGAATTACGATGATGATGCTTAGTCGTTTTATTTCCTTGTATGCGACCAACTTGCCTCGTTAAACTTTCAAATCGATTAGCAATTTTATAGAAATGAAAAAGAAAAGCCAGAATGATTTATTCCGCCACTCGACTTTATTAGTTGTCATTTTAACCCTTCATTTTTTTGTTGCATTACTTTTGGACCTTGAACTTTTTAATGCAACCGAACAATATCAGTGCCTTTAAGCTGGGTGAAATAATGTCTTTTTCTATCATGTCATCAACAAATTTGTTAGAAGTCAGAAAAACATGTTGATATCAATTTTTCGATATTATTTTTAAATTTTTTGACGATGTAATAGAAAATGACAAAAATAGTTATATTATTGTTTTATCATGTTTGGGTCGATGTTGAAAAAAATAAAAATTTAAAAACAAAAAAGAATGGAATATAATTTTATAGCAAAGCTAAAGGGGTAAAAATAAACATTGCGCTAGAAGAAAAAAGGAAGAAAGATTTATGGTTTTTGAAGGAATTTGATACTAACGAGGTAAACTCATTATTCTGGTTCTCCGTTTTCTCAGATTATTGGTCTAACTATTATCCTCCAAATATATCGAGTTTAACTTGACAATCATTTGAAATTTTTAAATAAAAGTTTTACACGAATAGGTATTTCGTTTAGCAATGATAAAAGGGGTGCAATAAGCAAAACCTAAATCTGCAATATTCAATCCACCATAAGACAACTGCTACATAACTCTTTCCACTAATCCACTAAAACACCAACTCTTGATGAAATATAAACAGAAATGTTATCCTCCTCTGCCTGCGTGTTAGCTGTTACTTCCAACCAATTTACACCCACCTGTAGACATCATTTTTTTCATTTAAAATTATTATTATTATTATTAGTATTATTATTATTATTATAATTATAATTATTTATTATTATTATTATTATTATTAATATTATATATTATTATTATTATATATTATTATTATTTAATAAATAATTACAACTGGACCGGCCCAATTACAAGCCAACCAGAATCGGTCCAGCCAACCAGAAACCCTAAACAATATATAAGATTTCAGCTAGGGTTTTCAAACCCTAGCTCCCAGCCGCCACTTCCAGAGGGCTCAAGCTGCCTCTCCAGCTTCCAGACGCTGCTGCCGACGCCTCCACTGCCAGATGGTCCAACCAGTCGCTGCCGACGCTGCTTTTGCCACGCCACCTCACCGCCGTAGATTCCAGAACACCAGATGGCAGCCCAAATCGAGCTCCATGGTGAGTCACCAGCATAGCTATGGTGACTCACCTAGACATCCCTCTCGGGACCGGTCCAAACAGAACCTCGTGGTGGCTATAAAAGCCACCATACCTGCGAAAGAAGGAAGAGGAGACAGCCACAGACGGCAGAGAACGAAAAAAAACAGAACGAAAAAAAACAGAGGAGGAAAAGAACACAAACGAACAGCAACCAACAACCAGAAAAAAAAATAGAAAACAAAGAAAGAAGAAAAGAAACTTACCCTTGGAGCCTTGACCACCGTCGGAAGCACTAAACATCGCCGGAGAACAGAAAATACCGAAGGTATTTTTGTAGATTTACTCCGATTAGGAGTCTTTTATGGAAAACAAAGACCGGAATCGGTCTTAGGGCATTTAGATCTACGTTTTGGGGGTGTTTTTTGTGAATTCCGACCACCGTTACGGTGGCCGGCGGCGGTGGCCGGCGGCGGAATACGGTGGCCCATGGCCGCCGGTTTCCCTCCGGCGAGGGAAACTAGAGAGAAACCAGAGAGAACTCTGGTTCTCTCGTCTTGAGAAAGAAAGAAATGAGGCAAATGAGAAGCTTGGCCCTTCGGGCCAGGCATTCAGGGTTATAAACCCTCATCCGTGCGACGTCGTTTAAGGGGAGGGTATCTGTGTAATTTCCATCATGGGTAAACCCTTTCCGCAGTCACTCCTAGTTTGTAACATTACAAATTAGTCATTAAAAGCAAGTTTTAATTCTTTTAATCATATCATTCAATTTTATTTTATTACATTTTAGTCATTATCAGTTTATATATATTTAGGGTAAATAACTGATTTAGTACCTTATAATTTTATTAACGTTTATTTTAATCCGATTAATTAAATAAGGCTAAATTACATTTTAGCACTTAAAGTTTTATTTATTCGAGATAGAGCCTTTAAACTTTGATAAATTTTATTTTAATCACTGATTAATTAATTAAGGATTAATTACACTATTAGTAATTTTATTTTATGATGATTCAGGTTATGTTCATAATTTTACATTTATTATTTTATTTATTTTTAATCATTGTTTAGTTATGTTTTAACTTAATTTTTATTATTTTAATATATTTCAATCATTACTTTAATTATTGTTTTACTATATTATAAATATACATTATTTATTTAACAATGTTTATTTATTTTCCATATCGAAGAAAAGGACAGTCTTAATACAACTGGATGTTCTATTCTGATATTTTAAAATTAAAAATTAAACAATATTATTTAAATTAATACTTATCAATATCAAAGAAAAGAGCTATCTTAAGGTACCTAGAAGTTCTTTTCCGATATTTTTAAATATTTTTTTTTTATATATAATTTTGAAATAATAAGGTTATAAATTAATTTTTTTTAAAATTTTAATAATAGAGACAATTTATAATTTAAAAAGTACCAATTTTTGGGCGTTGTAGGGGTGCTAATCCTTCCCTAAACGTAACCGACCACGAATCCCTTTTTATTAAAAAGAACGAATTTTTTGGTTATAAAACGCAGATCAGTTCATCTTTTAAAAATGGTTTTCTTAAAAGCTCTTTTAAAAGATAATTTTTAGGTATTCGACCTACCTGACCCAAAAGGCCGATGGCGACTCCTAAATTATTTTCAAAATTATTTATTAAACATTAATTTCCCCGCCAAATTTTAATATTTCGTGCCCGGACGAAAACCAGTTACGACAGCTTGGCGACTCCGCTGGGGACCTGGTCAAACTTTAAAATTAATTATAAATTGTCTCTATTAATTAAAAATTTAAAGTTCATATATTTAATTTTTAATTCTTTCTTTTCAAAATTTTTATATTTACTTATTATTTTCATAATATTTATATGTTTCATTTTACTTGTAAGTATTTTATTTCGTTATTTATTTTTCTGTTAGAAGTTTAAACATTTCTCCTCACACACAACACTTGCATTGCATAACATAAAGCTCTATAATTGAGCTTGTCCCTTTTAAGTGGGAGTGAAAGCGACGTCTTCGTGAGAATTTATTCTCCGTGTCAGACCTAGCAAGTAACTTTCGGGGTTCATATGCTCTATGTCTTCGTGAGAATTTATTCTCCGTGTTAGTCATAGAGAAATGTATCCCCTCGAATTGAACTCGGTCCGTTTAAGTCTGTAATGGACTAGGATTGAGGGTTAACAGTCCAAGGGGGCACTAACAAGGACAATTCGAGTACCTTACTCCTAGAACTAAAACCCTACATGTAATAAAACTTAGAACTCCTCCTGATATAAGACAGTACTGAACCTCTGTCCTTAGGTGTACACAAAGGAGAAATAAGCTTTAGCTTTTATTTTATTATTTTTTATGAATAAATGCCTGCGAACTAAAAATCATGCGGTTAGGTTAAATTTTCCAAACAAAGCATGGAACTAGAAAGCATGAGGTTAAAGATTTATACCTTGATAGATAGATTTTTTCATTAGTTGGTACTAACTATTTTATTTTTTCATTTCTTTTGTTTGCATTGCATGATCATAGCATAACCAAAAGGTGTTTACTTGAAAGACTGTTCATCATATGGAAAGAAATTGTAAATGGACAAAAAGTTTTATGATCAAATAAAATATGATGCGGCCAAAGAAAGACATCCTAAGGAAACTCTGAGGATAGAAGCGAGTTATGCACCCAAAGATCGTATGACCATTGAAGAGCAAAAGGAGATACGAGAAATAAGAGAGCAGATGACCAAGATGATGGATAAAATATCTGTTTTGGCCAAAGGAAAAGAGATTCCAGCACAGAAAGAGAGAGAGCTCAATAAACTTAACTCTGCAGTTTCAGATACGCAAGAGATTTCGATTCTTAACCAATTTGAGAAATTACAGACAGTCATTATTCGTATTCACAAATTGTCTGGAGATACCAAAGAAATGGTAACGACTGTACAAGCTCTCAGACAAGAGAAGAAATCATGTAATAAAAAATCATCAAAGTTTGGTCTGCTCCCGATGTCTAAAACTCAGGTTCAATCCAAGACAAAAGGTGGTTCTCATCTTGATAATATCCCCATATCATATAAAGAGTTGTATGAGAAGCTACTTGAAGCACGAGAAGTGGATCCATATTATATAAAACCGTTCCAACCTCCGTATCCAAATTGGTATGACATCAACGTTCATTGTGAATATCATTCCGGAGCTCAAGGACATACCATCGAGAATTGTCTTGCTTTCAAACGCCGAGTCCAAAGTCTTTTAGATCATGGAACCTTACAATTTATGGTAAATGATCGACCTAGTTTAGTAACCGAGGGTCCTGATAGATTAATACCAAAAGTCTTCAAAGGTAAGAATATCAGTAGAGGCACCCAGAGAGAAGAAGATTTGCTGAGGTTTGAAGCTCAAATACGTCATTTGAAGATTGAAAACGATAAATTGAGCACCAAAATGGAAACCATACATGAAGACTTCCAGAAGGTCAGTCAAGCCTTTCAAAATGCTGGTATAGGAAACACCCCAGAAGAGTGGATAGCAGGGGTCACCAAACTGAAAAAGAGTTGCAACATACATGAAGATCTTGTCCAAAAACTTTTTGAACACAAATGTTCTCTCACAAGGGAAAATGAGCAACTCCGAGAATTGATATAGGAGATGAAAGAACACCAGAATGTCATGGAAGAAGCTGCAGTCCATACAAGCAATATGGCCCATAAGCTGATAAACTAACTTGGTTTTATAGAAGAAAATGGGAAAGTTATTCCCTATATGTAAAGTTTTGTTAGGACTGAAAGTTGTCCCCTACATGTAAAAGTTTTGTTTGATGTACTGAAGCTTTTGTGTTCAATAAAATCTGTTCTAAGATGATCACTCTTAAGTAACACCTTTTCATACATGCATTTACATTTTGTATCTGTGCATTTTCATTTGTATTTTTACTTTTTATATCTTTGAATTGCACATTTTGCATTCTTATTTTCCATATATGCATTTTCATATTTTTATACTGTCATGTACTTTAATTATAAAAACATGTTAATAATTAATGAAAGGTTTTGTAACAGTAAAACCAAGGTCATTCATTCATATTACTTTACTATCATCATGAAAACAATGGAGCAATCCTATGAGTGACTACAAGATCAGTGGCTAGAACAATTGACAAGGTTACCTCAGGATATAAGGAAAGAAACATCAGATTCAGTATCAGATGGATCAAATCAAATTATTCAGATAATGGAATCTGATAAAGAAAAGATAATTGCTAAAGAGAAATCGTGCTATCAGATTGAAGAGTCGAGATAGATAATATACCCTGGGGCATTCCACTTGAACCCAAAGAATAGCCTCATTAATTATTCACAATATGAGGAGAAAGTCAAGAGGACAGAGAAAGCAATCAGAAACATGAAAGATGTTAGGGCCTACCACAAAGAATTAGAAGCAAGAGAGCTTAGCTTGGTTCCAGATTTGATTATTCCCATGAATTCAAAATGCCTGATTTTGAGAAATATGATGGCACAAGTTGTCCCTTAATCCATTTGAGAATATTTTGCAGAAAAATGGAAGGATATTTGAGTTCTGATGATCTATTAATTCACTCTTTCCATG